AGACAGATGACTGAATAAGAACTGAAACAATATACATTCATGTGAAGTAAAAAAAAATTGTGTTCATGTTTAAGGTTGGGTATATATTTTGTCATCTCTGATGGAACTCCCCAATAGTTTTTTGAGGATAGGAATCATAATTAGTTTCAACACCCCTTCACAGATGGTGGGCACGAATTTATACTTAAGTTATAAATATACTTGGTAAGAATACATTTAAGTTTTATAAAATGCATTGATCATCTTTAATCTATAGTAATAGGATGGAAAGTTGTTAATATCAAACAAAACTTCTCTAAGTATAGCTGGCTATATCATTTTAAGAATGAAGAATACACACACACACACAAATATATGTGTATATACACACACAGTTTCATAAGAAAAGCAAACAAATCAATCTATTGAGTATAACCAGTTACAAAATTACCTTCATTTGCTTCATGTTTTTCTGTAAGTGAGGTGACAGACTATGCACATTTTTGTTCACTGATTTGCTTATTTAAAAATTACCTGGGACTCCCATCTGCAGCAAAAATAAGCTAAAAGAGTCAGGAAAAAGCCTCACATGAGAAGTAAACTTTATCAGGGCCTTGTAAAGAAATGGTAAAATCTGAGTGGGAAGAGAGAAGGCAGGTTTTTTGAGTGAAATATTAATTAACAGCGTCAGAGTTGCAGATTTGAATGAGGATGGTGTGTTTGAGAGACAGGCTGTACAGAGCAGGAAGGATGGGTTAAAGAACATGGGAAATGAATAGGGAGTGTAGAAACAGAATCGAAAGGGCATTGAAAACCAGGCAGAAGAGGTTTGATTTAATGTGGTGGACAACAGGGTACCAATGAAGCTTTCTGAAAAGGGGAGTGACATGCTGGAAGTAGCATTTAAAGAAGGCTAATCAGGATGAGTTGGAGAAAAACAGATGAAAATGAAGGAAGGCCACTGTAATCTAGGAACAAGGCGTTCAGGGCCTGAGGAGAAGTGCACAGAGATACAATGTATTTTAGCAGCAAATGTGATGGGCCTTGACTGTAAAATTACCAGAAACAAGGATGAGACATAGACCTATACTGAAGTTGGCTACTAGGTGGAGAAGTACTAAGACGTGGAAATTTCAAACACTAGAGCTATATTCACAAAGCCGAGATGTTTTCAAGTACCTTGTAAGTAGTTTGTTTTGTTTAGTAAATTTTCTGCAGGTGCTCCTGGATTTCACACCTACTTTGCTAACACAGGCTCATGAAAATCTGCTTACATCAAAATTAGTTTTTATGTTTTTCAATGTGTCAACAAAGTTAACTGACCCATATAGGATAGCAATTCCCAAGGACTCAGAAAGCAAAACAAACAGAATGCACACTTTCAAAAACTCAACCTTTTTTTAAAGTTGATATTAAATCTTGAGAACTAGTTTTAACTTTATCTGAGAGTGATCCACTCAGAAGAAAACTAACAAAGGCATCGGAGATAACGCAGGAATGAGGCGACAAGGGTTTGAGCGGCTAGGTACACAGAGCTGCAGTGTACTTCAGCAGCAGATGTGATGGGCCTTGTGACTGTAAAACTACCAGAAACAAGGATGAGACAGGCTAACGAAGAGTCAATACAAACAAGCTGTACTGAGAAAATGAACTAAGAAATCAACATGTTGCTTTTCTGAGTTGGCTAGCAAATTGGAAGAAAATCTCTAAAGTGAAAAACAAGGACTAAAATGTTACTAAGGCTAAATTCAGCAGCTTATCTAATTTTTTGGCTAATAATTACTCAGATTTAACTCTTCCTCTGCTTCCTCTCTCCTCTTAGAATGTGTACTATATACATAGCATGCTAGGAGGAATAGCATGTAAATAAGATCTATAGATTTCACTCATGGGCTCCCAAGGTACTTTCAGAATATTTCTATTATTGTAAACTGATTCTGTTATCTATACACAATTACAGGCGCCATTTTCTATCTCTTCCCATGATCATTTTCTGGTAGAGTTTTGATTAAAGATTGCCAAAAAGCAAAGATAACCATATCTACTGTCATTCACTAAGCTCTTCATTTATAACATGTGGTCAAACTTACACTTTTCAGAACATTATCTCATTTTAATCCTCACAACAGTCCTGTGAGGTAAGGACTATGATTATGCCCACTTTACAGTTGAAGAGGCTGAGGCTTCAGGGAATTAAGGGGTTTGTGCACAAAATTAGAAGCTACTAAGTGGCAGCCACGTTCGTCTGACATGCTCTCAATCATTATATTATACAGCCACCCCCAAAAGAGATAAGGAACCCAGACTTGCTACTCACTCTGTGAAAGAATTCGGGAGGGGCATCAGTTCTAAGAACTATGCTAGTGATACAAACGGACAGATTCTTTGACTCACTTCTAACCTTTCCTTATTCCGGAAACACTGCACTCTACTCCTGCTATGAACTGGGAGTTTCACCATCCCTCTATTAGCAGGACATTTCCACTACTACCATCAAGCCGTAAGATCTCAATATCTTTTCAATGTGTTCACATTTTAAAAATGCTACTACTAAGATCATCTAGCTCAGGACTAACCAGGCAGGGTGGTAACATCAAAATGCTTTAAAAAGTATTTTCTTTGAACACCCAGTGACCTGAGCAACTCTTCCCAGTGACAGCCGAAATGGAAACTAACCTTTTCAAGATACTTCTCAGTACATAAGATGTATTCATAAGAAGATACTTCTAAAAATAACTCTCCACTGTAACTCCCTCCTTATGCATCTGGGAGGAGATGTCATATTTCCTCCACAAAGCTTCCTTTTATGTTGCAACAGAAAGAATCTCAATTTTAAGCTGAACCAGAACAAGAACTATAAACTCCTTCACAAGAGATGGTTACTTTTATTAGTATTTTATATACATTGTCTAAATATGATGGGGTGTCTTACATTTTAACCTTGCAATACTTTAAACTAGAAAGTAAAAGCAGTTTTTATAGTTTAAAGTTTTGTCTGTCCTACTCGCCTTTTTTCCGCTAACATGTGGTCTCCCACAACAGGGTCAGCGTGATCTTTGCAGACTATAGATAAGGAATATGACTGCAGTAAACTACAGAAGATTAAGCACATATCAAGTAATTTAAAGTTTAAAACTTGACATATATGTATGAAATCAGCAAGCTGCATCGCATGGTTAAATAACGGACAAATTAATAGGATGCAGTTAGTAGCTTCCATTTTTCCCTCCAACTAACGGAACTTTGGCAAGTAGCCATATAATCTGCCATAATCTGTCACCATAATGAAGCACCACCCACTTCCTCTTCCCCACCCCCATCTAAATTATGATTGGAATACTTCTGGAGTGCTAATAATAGCATTCAGACTATCATAAAGGAGTGCTCTGTCCACGAAAACTGAAATTTACACCGTTTTTACTTTTAAATCTTTACAATCATAAATTTTATGAAAAAAGCACATCACATTTAAAAGAATTTTTTTTCTTTTTATCTATGAAAAATAGAGTCCCCAAATCAGTAATACCCATTTCAAGACTCCTTGAAGGAAAAATACATCCTATGTATAACTGTAGGTTTTTAATTTACACATCTAACAGGTAAAGTGTTAGGAGTTTGGAAGTCTGGGTTATATATATTTCATTTAAACCTTGTTCTGAGAGCCTGGTGAACTTGGTAAAAAACCAAAAATTATTAAGGTAGCTTTCTTGGTTTATACTATTTTGCATTAACTTTTTAACATACATACTACGAGATGTTAAATAAAAATGATCTACTTTCCTACTTATCTAATTTCGTTTTATGAACTAGAGTAGTCACATAGTTTTAATATTTTAGTAAGTAATCTTATGTATTAACACAAAAGTATTTACAAAACAAAGTAAATTTTCTGACTTTTCTGCCTCTAAATTTCGTATTACAGTCAAGCTATTGGTGTGCTTTCTATCCTATTTTCTCTTTATTTAAAAGAAGAAAATAGGAAGTGGGCCTGTTTGAGATCTCTCATCTAAAACAGTGGGTCATTTTAGCTTAATTTGGAAATGTTGCTTTAAAGTAATAATGTCATTCATTAACATAAACTATCCATTTAATAAAGATGTTTCGGTATATTTAAAATTTTTATTTAAAATACTCATGGCAAGTTTTTGATATCTTATTTGCAGCTCAGTAACTACCTTACTTATCCAAGAAAAGGAAAAAGTTAATTAAAAAAAATCCCACTAATATGTATTTGTTGAACATCAAACTGTAAATTAAAATAAAGCATATGAATTGAGTGGCTTTTGAGGTTAATTACTCTTCTCTGGACTTTGAATTAAGGTTATAGTCACATGAAATTCAAGAGTTTACTAGAATGTGTAACACAAACCATATTTATAATAAAACATTAAATGTAAAACACCAAGCTTAAACTCACAGTGGATCTTCTCAAATGCATGTCCTACATTCCAATTCAACATGCTACAGACTTTAAAAATTCTTTCTTTGACTACAGCAATCAGTAAGCTTGCCTCAGAGATGGCGTTCTTTTAAAAACTGCCTCTAAGTCGCCTAGGAATGGTGAAACTAAACGTACTTTGTAAGAACATAATGCTATCAGCACCTTCATCCCGAGAAAGGAAGTTGTTAACAGACAGCTTTATAAGTGAGACTTTAGAGAGCACTTCCTGGTCCGACAATATCGTCAACAGCATTTTATATAGCTTTATATTTCGGCATTTTGCAATGAGCTTTCAAAAAAATTTTACCTGAAATTTCCCCCCAGGCCCTCCAAAAGAGAAAAACTTACTCAACCTAAATAAATCTTACATTAAAAAAACAAATCTATGAAGTTCTATCAATGCTACTGTCACGGTATCATGCAATATCAAGTATTGTATAAATATTATTGATAATAACATCAACTTTAGATTTAATTATTTCACATTCATGGAGCCCTCAAATCCTCCTGCCCCGTGTGTTAGAGTTAGGTTTCACAGAGCACATTAGAAGGGAAAAAAAGAATTTAAAGGACAACTCACCGATTCCTTGATGATGAAGAAAAGGCGAATAACCACTCACACTTTCATTTCCAAATTTAAAGTGAATTCTCCTTTTAAACTAATATATTAAAAAAAAAACAAACCCTTTAAGAAACCTTGCATGATCCTAAAAAGGAACTGCCGATAAAAACAGCGTGACTTGAGTGCTGCACTTTACTATCAGCACCACCAGCTGAAGTATTCTCTGTTACGACGCCTATTGGTTCCCACAGGTGCAAGTGCTTATGGGTGTTGCCGATTTGCCTTTTTTTTTGTAAGTGAACCACTGAAGGGATTTAAGGTTTGGACAAGCAATCCTAAGAACTATTAGGGCAGAGCTACCTTGGGTGAATAGCAAGAACCTCCCAAAGTAGGTTGACTGTGAATTGATGATTACCTAATTAAAAGGAACCCGAGAAATTTACTTCAACTGGCTTTCATTCTTTCCCTAAAATGAGCTGTTACTATGAATGCATATGGCTTCACTTAATGAATAGGTATTAATGGTTTTCTCCATGCAAAAACAGTTTTAGTTACTAAGAATACAGTAATGAATAAAACAAAGAAAGTCCCTGGGGTCATTTATACACTCTTCTAGCAGACTTTTAACTACTTCATATATGGGAGAACTTCCATAATACCAGAGATGAAAAAAATTTGTATAGAAATTTGTAAAGTCAATTGTAGTGCTCGCTACTAAAAAGCATTACAATGGAGGTCACCACCTTAAACTTACAAGAACTTTTTCAGAACTATAGTATTTAAAAGTAGGATTCTTTTGTTTTCAGTCTTTCAGAAAGGCCATGTTGGAGGCAATGGCATATGTTCCAGCAGGGAAAAGGAAAAACTTCTCACCATGAGTCACCAATGACTAAGTTCTTTAATTCAGGCTTAAACACATTTCAAACTCAATTACTTGTACATGCAGAAAACTGATAACCCCAAATTAACATCAGGAGCTTGATTTGACCAATGTTCAGGGTTAATATCAGCATCTAAGAAAAACAAGTGCTTTTAATGGGATAATGGCTCTGCCCTGAATCTTATTATAATTTTGGTTTTATTAATCTTTAATGCCTAAGGGCCATGTCAGCAAGCCTCCACTAGATTCTGTTACAATGAACAGTTTTCTTAAATTTCAGCAAGACTGAGAGAATATCTTGGATGTATGGAATGGTGGTGATAGGAATGGCTTGTATTTGTATTCAGTAAAACAAAAACTCAAGGTTGCTCAAAGAAAAATATAAAATACAGAGACTAAAATGTGTGCTCTCTAACCTAAGCTATACTTCACTTCTTAGGATTTTACTTATGTTTCAAATAACAAAACCTTTCTAGTCAATAAATTGTTGGGCTTTCTAAGCCAAATCTGTCCATTTAGTTGTTAAAAAATATTTATTGAGCACTTACTACATGGTAGGCACTGTTCTGTGAATTGGGGAATACTTTAGCAATGAATCTCTGCTTTCATAGAATCTAAATTCTACTGTAGGGATATAAGATAAACAAATAAGTATTTGGTATGTCAGAAGATAGTAAGCGGTAGGGATAACAAAGAGTTTTATTTATTCACTTATAACAAATTGCTTATACCACAAGATACAGAACTTTAATTTGGAAGACCAGAGTGTTAGACAAATTCTACTTCTAACTCAGGTAAGTAACCACCTTCAATTGCAAATGACAGAATCTTATTTCATTGTTCCTAATATCCAAAGAAAGAAAAACAAATTTCCAAGGCTGGAAAGTTAGAACCCAATCCTTACCCAATAAAAACATCATGTAAGGAAACAAAACAACAAAACCCAAACACTCAACTGTCACTTTAGGGAATATTAAATGTGAATAAACAGATTTCCATACACTTATCACCAGTGGCATTGAATTTATCAGCTGTTGGGGTCAGAAGCAAATTGTCTACTTAAGAATTATTCCTGCTTTTTTTTTTTGCTGAGAAATAATGACATCTAAATATTATCTTTGAACATAAGTATTTAAATTTAATACAATTCAACATTATTTATTGAGCAAACACTAGTTGCTAGACATTTGATTATAGGTGTAATACACTTCTTTTAAAATCAAGAAGATGGTTCTATACAGCAAAGGAAATGAACAGAATGAAGGGCAACCTACTGAATAAGAGAAAACACTTGCAAATCATATGTCTGATAAGGGGTTACTATCCAAAGTATATAAAGAAATCATATAACTCCAACAGCACAAAAAATGAAACAATCTGATTTAAAAATCAGCAAAAAGATCTGAATAGGCATTTTTCCAAAGACGATACACTCAATACCAGTAATCATGGGGGCATACAAATCAAAACCACAATGAGATATCGCCTCACACCTCTAAGAGTGACAAAACAAGTGTTGGTGAGAATGTGGAGAAAAGAGACTGTGCACTGATGATAGGAATGGCAATAGGTGCAGCCCTTATTGTAGGGTGGTTCCTAAAAAACAAACAAACAAACAAAAAAAAAAACTAAAGATAAACTACCATATGATCTAGCAATTACACTTCTGGGTATTTATCAGACAAAAATAAAAACACTAATTTGAAAAGATCTGCACTCCATGTTCACTGCAGCATTATTCACTAAGATATGGAAACAAACAAAGTGTCTACTGATGGAAGAATGAATAAAGAAAATATAATACACACACAGAGGCATGAGCGCATGGTGAAATATTATTCACCCATTAAAAATAAAGAAAAATTTGCCATTCGTGACATGGATGGACTTTGAGTACATTATGCGAAGTGAAATAAGACAGAGACAAATACTGTATGACTTCACTTATATGTGGAATCTAGAACAAAACAAGACAAAATGAATACATAGATACAAAGAACAGATGGTGGTTGCCAGAGGTCAGAGTTGGCGCTGGGGGGTGGATGAGGGCAGAGGGATGGGCATAATGGGTGAAGGGAGTCAAAAGATACAAACTTCCAGTTACAAAATATCCAAGTCCTGGGGATGTAATATGCAACATGGTAAATACAGTTAATGTTGTATGGTATATTTGAAAGTTACTAAGAAAGTAAATCTTAAATGTTCCCATCACAAGAAAAAAAATGCAATTACACATGCTGATAGATGTCAACTAGACTTGTCATGGTGATCATTTTGCAGTGTATACACATACCAAATCATTGTCTAATACCTGAAACTAATCCATGTCAATTTTTATCTCAATAAAATAATAAAGTCAAGAAGATGGATCTCTAGGAAGGATAAGACAAGTCCTCTGATGTAATATCAGGGAGAATATTAGTGTAAAATAAAAATGTACAAAGCAAACACTTAGGGAATTCTAAGGAGAAAACAGCAAGGAAGATGATCAGAGAAGGCCTCATGAAAAACAACATTAGAAGTAAGTCTGAAAAATAGGGATGGAAGGCATCTAGGGAACAGAAATGGCAGGAACAAAGACATGAAGGTAGTAAATAAGTAAGTATTGCCGTTGAGCAAGCTGATATGATTGGGCACAAGGAAAGACAGACAGATAGATAGATAGACAGACAGACAAACAGATAGATAGATGATAGCAACCTAAAATTAGGTTGCTAAATCTGTACTGAGTCAGTAGGTCATGGAGTACCCACACATATTGGAAGGATGAAAAAGAGACAGAGACTGGAAAACTGTCTAGGAAGTCCTTCCCGAGCACCTCACGTAGGCCCCCATTAGCTCATCTTGGACCACTGAAGGTAGAAAGTGGAAAGTGTACCGACTGAGTTGAAACACCAGATCCAGGTCATAGTCAAGTTTGCCACTGTCTGTTTGGCTGTATGACTTTGGGAAGCCACCCTCACTGTGTTTCAATTTCCCTATGTGTGAATCTATTAATTATTCTATTTTGGAGTTAGGAGCCATGGGACTCAGCAGATGATTAGATACTGGGAATAGAGCAAAAACAGCAATAATAAATTATTTCAAGTGATTAAGCAGCTACCATTTATCAAACACTTCCTATGCATTTGCCACTGTGCTTGGCACTTTACATATATTGCTTCATTTACTCCTTAAAAGATTCCTATGAGGAATGTATTCTTACTTTACAGATGAGAAAATTGAGAACTAGAAGACTTAAGTAACTTACTCAGGGTCAGCCAGCTGGCACAGTGACAAAGTCAAATAAGTGCTGATCATTAATTCATTCACATTTATTGAGCATCCTTTACACCGTATGCCTGGTACTACACAGGTCATGGGGGATGCAAAGATGAATAAGACTCATCTCTGCCCTCACTGTGCTCCCAATTAGTAAAATACAAACAAATGTAAATAAGGAACTACTATACAATAATAGAATTTTGCACAACAATGGAAGCATAAAGGCATAAGATGTATAATGTTGTATTTTAGATCTCTGCTAATAAACCTTGACCATTTAAAAACTATGTTCATGTGATTTTTGGAAATATTTGTGTATTTACACACACACCTTTCAAAAAGTAAAGGCTAATGTTCACTTCAGAATGGAAAGTTGGCCATGACCTGCAGTTCTGTTTTGTGTATCTACTGCCAAGACCAGGTTACTAGTTTATTTAAGTAAGCCTTCTGCCTGGATTGGTGCCCTTTATTGCTATGGGTTAAAAAAAATCTATTTGAACTGTCATAAGCTGATTGCTACGGATATGAGCCTGTCAATAGACAGAAAGCAAAACATAAAAATAAATAAATAGCCAACAGTCCTGGTTTGAAGTGTAAATAAAAGGTTATCTAGTTATTCAAAAATAATGGAACTAAATTGGAACTCTTTCAAGGAGTAATTTGACAACTGACTAAAATATGAAGCACAACAAAATGTACAATGTGAAGTTGATTTTGCTGTTATTTTACTGAGGTCAGAGGTGAAGTGGAAGGGACTAAAACACTGGACTCCACCATGTAACTTTCCAGGTTTGGAGTTAAAGCCACACTGGTCATAGTTCTTTGTTTAATGGGAGCAGGTTTCGGTAGGTATAAAATGTTTATTCCAAGGCATCTTCCTTTTCTAACTCAATTTAGGGATAAAAAAATATGAATTTGTGAGATAGCTGACAATGATTAGGAGACCCACCTGTGCTAACAAATCAAGAAATTGATCCTTAAGTCATTCTGTTGTAAAATAGAAATAATTTAGAATGACTTTGAATATACTCCAATGTCTCTAACAAATCTCAGGTCAGAAAGAAAAAGTGCATTAGTTTGATTTATAAAGTGTTCCGGTAAAAGAATATTTAATTACAGATAGCTAGAATGATAAAATTTATCAATTTAATTCCTACTGTTTATCATAAATATTCTAAATAGCTATTTTTAATTTGATGCTCATAATTCAGAAATGAGTGAGACTATATTTTGACCAATAAATTACCATATCTAATCTATAATTAAGATTAGTTATGCATAAGTAACTTTTTTTTTTACTGAGCTGAATGTGAGTTTCAGAAATAGTAACAAGCTTTCAATATATCCTCACACAAATAATAAAAAGAAATTCAGTAGATATAATGCCAAGTAATCACAAACTAAACTCCCTGTGCTGAAATGCAATTGTGTAATATCCCATAAGTCAAAACTACTCATTCAAAAATATCCTTTCTGATTGAGAGGGATCTCTCATTGTAGACTGAAAAGAAGTCTCTTAGGTAAGTCACAGAACACTATTACATAGAAGCTTGCTTTCTTTCTGGAGGGATGGAAGAAACAAAACTGGAGGAAAAGCGTATAAAGGAAAATGTATCAAGAATTTTCATTTAGGGGCCTCCCCGGTGGCGCAGCGGTTGAGCGCTGGGTTGCGAGGCTGCCCTCGGCCTCTGCGGCACCGGTTCGATCCCCGGCTGCTCCCCGGCCACCGGAGGCAGGTCCCACATGGTGCGCAGACCTCTCCTGCCGCCCGCTGCTCCCCTCAGCAGTGTACTTCGGTCCTTCTGCCTGCTCTGCTCCCCACTCTGGCTCTGGTGAATTCTCTCACCCTCCCGCGCTTCTGACTGTACCCAGTGCATGTATAAACAAACAAATAAATAAAATAAATAAATAAAACATGCCTCTATTAAAAAAAAAAAAAAATTTTCATTTATTCTCTTATACTACTGACACCAATGCATATCAACACTGGCAAGCGATGAAAACTTTTAATCAGGCTGACTTAAAACATTAAACCAAATTAGGTATCGAGGCAGAATCTGAGATTACAATAGTTTGAGTGTATATGACTCAAGTGGTAAAGAAAGTGTAAAATGGGTTATTGTATTTACTGGGCAGCACCTGCATCCTGCTCATGAAGACCCAGAATACTTTAAAACTCCAAACCAAAAGAACTTGTATTCTGTGGTTGCTAAAACCATTCACATGAAATTGTTAGCCTCCTTCCTAATCTCTTCTTTTGATTATAGTTTTTAATTGAAAAGAAACAGTTTCAATGAGCATTATGTAATGACTTCATATACTTACAGTTTCTTGTAGTGTAGTTTTAGTAAATGAAATTGTTGAACTAAATTCCCACAGAATTCCTACCCTACTCTCTTCTCCCTTTTTCCCCAGGAATAAAATTATAGGTCCTTCCTAGAGATAAAAATTCTATTATAATGAATCTCTCTTCATTGTCTCTGGATCAATACCATCAGGTAATGTGAATTATGTGCAAATGACTGCTTCAGCAAGCACTCAGGGAAATATCAGCATATTTTCTTTTTTTATAATTTTTCTTAAAGATTTTATTTTATTTATGCATACAAGAGCTGGGATGCAGGCTAGAGGTGCGGGGGGGGGGGCAGGAGGGGTGAGAGGATTCACCAGAGACAGAATGGGGAGCAGAACAGGCAGATTGAAATACACTGCTGAGGGGAGCAGCCGGCAGGACAGGAGAGGTCTGCTGCGCCTTGTGGGTATCTCCCTGGCCGGGGATCCGACTCTGCTGCAGTGGCTGCAGGTAGCTTCA